CGCTTTGCACTCTTGCTGTTTCCTGCTTTACCAATGGTCTTCGGTAGATGTACCCTGTTCTAAGACCCTGGAAGAATAGTCAATGCATTATGCACCCCCAATTTCATTTTCTGAAATGCCATAATGTTTTTAATTTTAAAGTTATTGCAGGAATAACATAATAAAAGAACCTTACTGCATTATCCAGAGATCTCATAAGAGCTTCAAACTCCAGTTCGCCAACTTTCCATTTGCGCTCCTTCTGACCTTGAGCAGCTGGGCCCCCTTCCTGGAAATTGCGAAATTTATTTCATTAAATGACATTAATATATACAAGATGTAAAAATATAAGCTAAAAACTATTCCTCATTCAAGAGAATATTCTACTGAACTTTAAATGCATTGGTGATTTTTAAATTTGTCATTAAGCAATTACATACCTGCTTGCTATCAACCCCTCCTCCTCCTCGCCGAGCTACTTCATAAGCTGCCTGCCGTGCTTCATCAGTCACAACTACAAGGTTGTCAAGACCCAGAGGTGCCATGCGCATCTGGAGAGAAAAAAAAAAAAAAAAAAAATCAGTAGTGGCATATTGCTTTCCACACTAACTAAAAACATGGTATACCAAAGTAAACCAAATCTCTTGCTGCAAAAACATATAACAAAACTGGTACTAACAGTATAGCAATTCTTAACCTCTAGGTTCCTATTTACTATGATCATGTTATTCATTGAATGTTCAGTCTCATAAAAACTCAATTGCTTTTTATCCCATAAATTTCTTCCGTGTAAGTGACTTGTACACCATGTTCTCTAATATATCTGGTACTGGTACCTCTCATACCCTCAATCACACAGTTGTGTTTTTCCCACCTCTATCTAGTTGTGAATAAAATGTAGTAAATGTGAGGTAGTAATTCAGTTGCTGTATGGTATTTTCCATTCACTCAAACCCTTTCCTTTCTCCAAAGTTCTTCCTTCACACATCATACCACCATGTATCACTGCATTACCTCCTGGTATATAATCTTTTAAATACTTTTCTGTCTAGGCATTTATAGATACATCTAAATACACATCTTGTTTTATGTTATAAAAAATTATCTTATTTACATATTTACTGTAATCTCCCCTGTTTTCATTTGTACTCAAAGGGTACCTGTTGAAAATTTTTTCAACTTTGTGGTCAGTTGATACTAGCATTGGAGATATGGCAATGAAATAAAGATTTTTAGCGCATAAAATTTCGCTCTTCAAATGCCTACAACCAAAGTTTGCCTTAGTAATGCTTGAAAAATAATGTGTTGTGGTTAATTTTTGTTGAACCAAAGCAAATCTTGGTTAATACCATTTTAAGAGTTACTATCTAATACACATTATATTCAATTCACAAGAACAAAGCGGCAGGGGACATGATTGTATAATAAGCTAAGGGAAAGGAAAGCCTACAAGAGAGAGGGGGATATGGAAATAATTTTGTGAGTATAACTACAGAATATTTGAAAACAGTAATACATGTGTTAATGGTCATTGCATCTCTCACATCAAGGAAAGACAGGTGAAAATACTCTAATTTTCACAGGCTGTGCGTGATTTTGGTAAATAGGACTAAGCAAGCTACAAACAATATGAAGAGGACTTTTGGGATTATAACAGTATTTTAGCATTTATCCTTCCTTCACAGAGCCTTTTAATTATTTGAATCTAATGGTGCTCTTATTACCAACATGGTGGTAAGCCATTGTTTCCCCCCTGCCCAATCTTGCCAATCCCTGATTAGAGGTCAGCAATCTCTAGCCCTGACATATATTACTAAATTGAAGTTGTTGTTGATCACTGAGATTTCAAATGAAGCTTTCTCCATTCTTTTTTCTTTTATATGAATTATTGGGCAAGCAACAAACCCTATTTCAATGTGAATTCAAATCTCCCTTAGGGGGGCATATCTGCTGCTTTGTACTCAAAGGGTTAAAATCATCAAAAATCAAACTTTCATAAAATAGAAATGGAGAAAATTTAGACAGTCTTAGAGAAGAAGCTCAAAGGCATACTTTGAAAGGATAAGTATAGTAAATTCTTACCTGTGTCTCACAGGCAAGGACTGTATGGTATGTATTATACCAAGCTTCCTCAACTGTCTCTCCACAGCACACAACACCATGATTGCGGAGCAACAGAATCTGTTTGGAGGAAAAGTCAATGTTCTATTAAAAAATAATAATACTAATACTGACTATAACAGCAATGGCAATAGTAATAATGAGAATATTTTCATAGCTAATGTAAGAAATATCTTGAAAAAGACAATATTCCCTTAATCACATACCACATATATATATAATAATTATATATATATATATATATATATATATATATATATATATAATATATGTATGTATGTATTATGTATATATGTATGTATGTATGTATTGTATGTATGTATGTATGTATGTATGTATGTATGTATGTTATGTATGTATGTATGTATGTATGTATGTATGTATGTGTATATATATATTA